CGGAAAGAGAAAATAATTACAAATAAGTGCCCGGACTAAAAATAATTACATATAAGTACCTGATATTTAAAAAATATTACATATAGGTGCCCAAGAACATACTGTGACTCAAGCCTGTGGCTTACTGTAATCATCGATTGTAAATTAGTATATAATTTTAAATCATTAATAAGCATAGTATAAGAAATGTAATTATCAATTGTAAATTAGTATGTAATTATAATAAGAGAAAAAATTGGCTTTTCGTTTTTTTTTTTAATAAATTTCATTCGCTTTGTCTAATATTACCTATTCTTATAACAAACCTGATCTATACGTACAATAATATCAAATACAACACTGCAAATCGGTATAAAATTTCCTGATATAGAAAGTGTTCACTCAGCTCTAGAGAACTATTCGGTTAAAACACCTTCACCTTATAAGTTTAAAACTAATAACTCCAACAAACTACTTGTTGTTTGTCTTTTGTATGAAGTAGATAAAGCCAGCACTTGCTCTTTTACAGTCTCTGCCAACAAATGTAAAGATGGTTATATTCATATCATAAAGTTAATCCAACATGATCAAAATTGCCCAACTTTTTCAGAAACGTTTAAAGTATGTGGGTCATCTCTTAAGAAGTTCGCTGTACCATTAGTTGAGGATATAATAGCACTTAAACTTTGTGATATTGTGAATTGGCTTTGCACTGAAGTGGATGCTGAGGCATCATATATGAAAGCTTGGAGAAGTCAAGCTATTAACAAAAAATGTGATGCAGAAGAAATAAAAAAGAGTTACCAATGTATAAATTCACTACTTAACAATCTGATAATTGAGAATCCAGAAAGTGTTATTGCATTTGAGGTAAATAGTGAAAACCAATTTATTCATGCATTTATATGCTGCAGAATATAGCAGACCTGTGTTTATATTTGATGCTTGTTACTCAAGTCAAATTATAGTCATACCTGAGTTATATTCCCACTGGGTTATATCCCAATCTGAGTTATATCTCTATTTTTTAGCAGAATAAATTTCTCTTTTTTATATCGAGTTATATCCCAACCTTAATTATATCACCAAAAATGCTCAGGAAAAAAGGGGGGATATAACTCAGGTACGACTATACAAGGGTGTATATTTTAGTGTAAGTGCGATTGATAGTGAAGGCAAGCTTGTTCCTATAGCATTCGCTATTTGTTCTGTTGAAAATTCTGACAACTAAACATGGTTTTGTAAGTATTTGCACAAGGCCTTTTAATTAATAAATACAATTAAGACTATAATAATAAGTGACCGTGAAAAGGTACATTAATATTTTAATATTCAATACAGTACTTTAATATAATAATATACTATGTATTACAGTAATTATTAATATTTGTAATTATTTGCATATAGGGTATTTTAGATACCGTACAAACAAAACTTCCTAATACTTTTCACGCATATTGCATATGGCATATTGAAAAAAACATTAATACAAAATTCAAAACAAAGCTTGGAGATAAAATCTGGGCTGTAGCTAAAGCATTACACATAAAAGAATTTAACAAAATAATAAAAGAAATTTCTGATTTACATGAGGAGGCATCTATTTATCTTAGTGAAATACCTTCCACAACATGGGCCTTTAGCAAATATCCTCGAAGTAAATTCGGCTATCTTACTTCTAATACATCCAAGTTTTTAAATTCTTGGTTATGTGATGAACATCTTGTAAAACTATTCGAAACAATAATTTTATTTGTGCACAAGGTCAATACACTTTATTACAATTGTCGCACAATATATTCTTCAATCTAAGCAATGTTGCTATCTTCAACTACTCATCAACTTCAATCTGTTATCAACAAATGCAGTAGCAGAATAGTGTATTAAGTCAATAAGTCTGTTTTTGAGGTTAAGAGCAATAACAGTAATTTTTATATTGTGGATCTTACCTTATTAACTTGCACCTGTAAACAATTTCAAGAATATGAGCTTCCCTGTATACATGCATATGCAGCTATTCTTAAAACATGCAAATAGCCTTTACAATTTGTTCATACTATATATCACGTCACAACTCTTCAAAATATTTATAAAGAGTCTGTTCAACCTGTTGATATGGAAACATGTTTTGTTGATAACAAAACATTGCTACCAGCCATAATTAAACAAGCAGGATGACTACGAAAAATTCGTTTACGTAGCCGTAGAAAGATAGCACCAGAAAACCAACTTACCTGTAGTAAATGTAGCGAAAAAGGGCATAATGTACATACTTGTAGTCGAAGACATACATTAAAAAATAAAAATTAGTTCTTTACTTTAAGGCAACAAGCATAGACACTTAATTTTTATATCTAATATAAAGTTTAAATTCTTAAATAAATATTATTGCAAAAAATAATTATAACCAATACTTTATTGATAATTTAAGTTTGCTACTTTTGTAGCACAGTAGTTATGTTTTTTCAACTATTGATGATGTGGGCACCTATATATAATATTTTTTAAATATTAGGTACTTATATATAATTATTTTTAGTCCGGGCACCTATTTGTAATTATTTTCACTTTTCGGGCATCTATATGTAAATTCCTCTATAAAATATTTAAAAAGACTAACTATTTTTAGACTTGTATTACTATAAAACAGGTTTATTTAAGCTATCTAAAAAAATTGTTGTTTATTTTTTTTTAATCAGACCAAAATCAAGATTGGATCCAAAATAATATAAAAATTTATTTTTTTTTTAATTTTATTATAAATTTTTGTATACTATGATTTTTTTAATACTGTACTAAATTTAGTATGACAAAATTTTAGAACAATACAGTAAGTTTAAGAGTAAGCTATACAAAATTTTTATTAATAAATATTACTGAAATTGTACAAAAAGATAGTTCTAATATTTAAATATATTTTGGCAAAATTTGATTAAATTTGATCAAATAATTAATTCAAAATTAATTTTTTTGTGTGTACTAAATTTAGTACAAAAGCCAAATGGATACCCATTAATATTAATCAGATAGTTGTCGAGAAACTATCACTAGAAGATATAAAAAATATCAAGGATCATCACGCATTTTTTACATAGTATAGCCAATCAAAATCGATAATCTGCCAGTCCAAATTTGTTGTGGCAGCTATAGTTAATTTTTGATAGACATTTTGAATTTTTTAAAATTTTAAGTAAAGATATCTCAGCACTATCAAGCCAAATTTAATGAATATTTTTTATTTGAATTCTACAAATTTGTAGAATTTAAATAAAAAAAGGTCATCAGATTTGGCTTGGTGGGTGACAAGATAGCTCAAAGTTAATAACAATTTGATGCAGCTCTTATTTTGATAGGTGTTTTGGATTTTTTAAAACTTTAAGAGAAGATATCTCAACACCCACCAAGCCAAATTTAATAGATTGTTTATTTGAATTTTACATATTTGTAGAATTCGAATAAAAAAAAGTTCATTAAAATTAAAATTAACTTAGTAGTTGCCAAGATATTATCACTTAAAGTTTAAAATGCTTGATATACAGGGGTATAAATAACAAAATTGAGGGTACGAATAACAGTTGTCTAAATTAATTTTTTGATAAAAATTATTATATATCACCAGTTCTAAGTTTTTTTTTTTATATAATATAATATAAATTGGTTATAAGGTCCTGATTTTAGTTTTTGTGAGGTTTTAAGGGGTTCTAACTAGGGATTTGCAAATGCAAATTAGACATCAGACCAGGCACTAGTATCTTAAGCTATGCTTGTATTCCTAGACACAAAATTGCCAGACATATTATAGATATGGGCAAATACTATATAAGGGCATAAACTCAAATTTTGCAGGCACTAAGTGATGACTTATATCTGGCACTTCACATCTTTACTCATGAAAGTTCTTGGTTACATTTTTGTATCTATGCCCATGCAAACAACAGGGGCAGAGTGTAGTTCAAAATTTTTAGATCCGGACTGTAAATCATTTCTGACCTAGCTCTGAAATCTAATAAAATTTAAAATATTATAAAACTTTGAGCAAAGATACCTCAATGATTATATAATTAAATTTGATGAATTTTTTTATTTGAATTCTATAAATCTGTTAAATTCAGATAAAAAACTTTTTATTGAATTTGGTCAGGTGGGTGCTGTGATAACTTTGCTCAACTTTGGAAAAAATTTCAAAATATCTCAGAATAGAAGCTGCACTGAATTATTTTAAAACTTTGAGCAAAGATATCTTAACAACCATCTGTCTAAATTTGATAAAGCTTTTTTATATTAATTCTACAGATTAGTAAAATTCAAATAAAAATTTTTATTAAATTTAGTTAGGTGATTATCAAGATATCTTTATTCAAAGTTAAGAAAATTTAAAAAGACATTCAAATCATTTTTAAATTTTGAGTAAAGATATCTCAATGACTGCCTAACAACTTTATGAATTTTTTTATTTATTTAAATTCTAGAAATAAGTAGAATTCAAACAAAAAGTTTTTATCAAATTTGGTTAGATGATTACTAAGATAACTTTGTTTAAAGTTATTAAATTTTAAACATCTATTTAGATAGAAGTTGTGCTAAATATTTTAAAAACTTTAAGTAAAGATATTTCAACAACCTTCTGACAATTTTTTATTTAAATTTTACAAATTTGCAAAATTTAATTAAAAAAATTTCCATTGAATTTAGTCTGGTGATTACTGAAAAAATTCATATTAAAATAAAAGCTGTGCTGAATTATTTTTAGAACTTTGAACAAAGATAACTCAACAAGCTGATGACTAAGTTCAGTAAATTTTTTATTTATATTCTATGAAGTTGTAGAATTTGAATAAAAAAATTTTTATCATATTTGGTTAGGTAGTGATTAAAATATCTTTGCTTAAAGTTTTAAAACTAATTTGACACAGCTTTTATTTTTAGACATTTTTATTTTTTTCTAGCTTTGAGTGAAGATATATCAGTGACTACCTGCCAAAATTTAGTGAAAATTTTTTATTTAAATCCTATGAATCTGTAAAATTCAAATAAAAAAAATCATCAAATTTGGTTAGGTAGTTATTGAAATATCTTTACTTAAATATTTAAAAATATTTAGCAAAACTTCTAATTTAATAGATGTTTTGAAATTTGATCAACTTTGATCGAAGTTATCTTAGCAACTATCTGATCAAATTTGATAAAATTTTTTTATTTGAATTCTATTTATTTTTAGAATTCAAATTCATAAAATTGTTGGACAATTATTGAGATATCTCATTCAAATTTTAAAAATAATTTGCACAACTTTTTAAATTTTTTCAACCTGAGCAAAGATATCTTAATAACCACCTGACTAAATTTGATAAAAAATTTTTATTTGAATTTTACTAATCTGTAGAATTAATATAAAAAATGCCTCATCAAATTTAGTTAAATAGTTATTGAGATATCTTTGCTCAAAGTTTTAAAAATATTTCAGTGCAGCTTCTATTTTAATAGATATTTTAAAGTTTTTTCAAAATTGAGTGAAGTTAATTTAGCACCCACCTAACTAAAAGATTCATAAAATTCAAATAAAAAATTTTTATCAAATTTAATCATAGTCTTTAAGATATTTTTGCTCAAAGTTTTATAATATTTTTAATTTTATTGGATTTCAAAGCCAGATCAAAAATGATCTACAGTTCAGATCTAGAAATTTTGAACTACATACTGCCTCTATTCATGCCAACTCATGCCAAACTTTTGTATCTGTGTCTATACTTGTATTAAATTTTTGTATTTATATCTATACTTATATCTAAGGTTTTGTGTCTATATCTTACTTATACTTTTTGTTAGACATGGTATAAGTTTAACTCTAGTTTTGACTATTTTTACTTAGAATGCTTGATTTTATTTATTTAGTATATTTTTAAGATATAGCAACACCAGTGATAATTACCAGTAGTAGTAAATAGCAAACTATTTTTTTAAAGAAATTCTAGATATCTCTTGCTAGATATATTTAGCTTATATATTTTTGGCTTGAAGCTATATCCAATCATATAACTTAATTAGAATTAGGGTTATATAAGATTAGAAAAAACCTAGTTATACAAGCAAAATTGCCTTTCTGACACTTTTAATTAGTATCTCAAAATAGGTTTAAATAGCTGTTTTTGATATATTTTATATTTTTTTTACTTTTTTGTATTTTTTGTTGTTGTTTTGTTATGTTAAACTGATTCACAATTTGTATTATACAAAAATAGCTATTATGTGATTAGTTTGTATTTTAATTGGCCTTTAGCTTTGAATATTATTATTAAACATTTCTGGCCAAAGATGTCTAAAAATACTCTTTTTTTAATAGTAATTTATTAATAAAGTTATATTAATTTTATTAATCAAAATTTTATATAAAATTTTATACTAATATTATTATGAAATATACTTAAACACCCTCTCCAAATGGTAATGATATATTATTCAAGGTTCGAATCCCAGAGAAGACGCTTTTGAAAATAGTGAAAACGGAATATGTCAGACGACGATCTCTATTTAGGTTGGCCTATAGATGATTTAGTGATCTGGTGTCTGGGGCACCGGTAAAAGGGATTCCAGGTGGCTGTAATCTGTGAGCTGTGCATTGCACAGGTCACAGGACCGGAGATCAAAGCCCGTTTGGGAAGTCCCGAGTTTGGAGATAGCAGTGATCTTCAACAGTACTACATAAAGGCTGAATTTGAACCAGGGCCCGAGATTGGAGAACCGAACGATTAGGTTCTTTAGTGGGGGACACACTAGCTGAACCACTGGTTTAGACACATCGGAGGAAAAGGCTA